GCTGGGTTGCAGGAAGTATAGGACCTTCATGTAGTTTCTCAAGCCCTTGTCAGGAAGTGTTATGACTGTTTCTCTTTTCTCATCAGTTCACTTGTTACATTTAACTGTGTATGCTGGCAGGGAAGGGGTATAGGGTAGGTTTTTCTTAAAAAGCAGTTTCTGAAAACTATGGCAGTCCAGAGAGAGCTCAGTTTTTCTTCTTTTTTTTTGGTACCGGGGATTGAACTGAGGTCCTTGCGCTTGCAAAGCAGGCCACCGAACTGCTGAGCTAAATCCTCGGCCCTCAGTTTCTTTTAAAGACTTCTTTTTACATCATTTTGTACACACTTGGATGGGATGCAAACTAGTTTGTTCCCCAAATCTTACGCTTTTAGCGGATCATGGACCCTTAGACTGTGGCTCTGAGCCCACTGTGAGGGACAGTTAATACCCAGTGTGCAAGACAGAGAGTATGACTCCTGTGTCTGTCATGGGTTTGTGGGAGAGTCCGAAGACTCCTCCAGCTTCGCCATACTCTTTGTTCAAAGCCTCAAATGTCTTATTTGGGGGAAAAAAAAAACAAAACCCTAAGAAGTTGGTGTGTAGCTGTGTCATAAGCACTTTGCCCCAGGGGAGGCAGCCTGTGCTCTGAAACTGAGGGGACGTGGAGACCAAGGTGAACCTTGGAATTTGCCTGCCTGCCTAGGCCTTGCACATACTAGTGGAGCATGCTGCTACTCACTGACTCACACCCTCTCCTGTTGGCACCGCTTCACTGAGAACATGGGGTCTCCAGCCTCGTTGTTGAGAAGAAATTGAGGTATGCCATTGTGTCCCATGAGACACGTGCAGCTTCAAAATGTTTGGTGAGTTGGGGAAGTCCTGTCTCCCCACTGAAGGGACACATGGCTTCTGTTGTCCCGAGGCTCCCTCTGTAGGTGTGCTGGGTGGCATCTCAGCTGCAAGGTTATTCTGACAGCAGGTCCCATCACTGTCCCCGTGCCTCTGACAAGGGGGATTGAAGGGGTGCCTTGTGCCTTGGCTTTGTTGTCCTGTCTGGGTGGCTGCCCTAGTCCTGGGGCTCAGGAATGAGATGCGGGTCCTCTATATTTTCAGGGCCTTGCCACTGAGCTACATCCCCAGATGATTTTATTTTTCTATTTTGAGACAGGGTCTCGTTGAGTCACTTAAGTTATCCAGGCTGGACTTGAATTTGTGATCTTCCTGCCTTAGCCTCTTGGTGTGCTGGATTACAGGCATGTGCTGTGGGTCGTCCCTGAGATGGCAGGAAGATGCTTTCCTCTTTGTATCAGTGCATCCCCTCCCTTTGGACTCTCTACTTGCATGCCCAGCCCCCTCTGGTGAGTGGGTCACCAGTGCATTCCCCAGTTCAGGGAATTTGCAGTGTGGACAAGTGTGGAAGTCCCAAGTCGCGTGACCGAAGCCTCACCCAGAGCCAGGTGCACTGACTGCTAGAGGATGCTCACCAGTCTCACCCCTAGGATTGCTTTGTGTTGTGGGTCTGTCGGGGTTGTTGGTGAGAGCAGTGCAGCTCCCTGCCCTGACATCCCGGGACCACCTCCTCCAGCCCCTCCTGCTCCGGCCCTGCCCGCTGTCTGCACTCCCTGAATTCAGGGCTGGCGGAACCTTGTTATCTGGCCCCTCCCTGCCACTTCCTCCTCCTTATAACTAGAAACGGGTGCTAGGTGGTATCTAGAAAGGGATGACTCGGGAGTCCGTCTAGATGTGGAAATTGTGTGTGTGCCCACGTTACTTCTCTAAATGATGAGTGTGATGTACATAGAACTCTGCTTTTTTGGTAACCACAGCCTGGGCCTCTTCAGATCCCTTGGGGCTTGGTTTTTGGTAGGACATGTGGTTTCCTCTCATCCTCCTGGGGTGAGGGGAGTCATGTGCCCCTGGAGACAGTTACTATGCAGCAGGGCTGTGTCAGTGTGGAGATGAACCTTTTCTGAGAAAATTCCCAGGGGTTGCCCTGTGAGAGGCCAGGAGCTAGGTGCTCCAGCTTCTGGCTAAGGTGAGGGGGGAGAACGGGCCTGAGCAAGTCCGGGAGCAGCCTGCCCCGGCCCGCCCCGCTCTGCTTCGGTCTCCTCTCAGCTTGTTGTGAAACACCTGAGGCCTTGCGGAGTAGAGAACGGGCACCCCGTGGGAGGCACCATGAATCAGGGAGACCGAATTGGCTTCCAGCTCCTTTTCTCTTAACAAAAACAAACCCGTCAGTACACAGATTAAACAGGAAGCCAACATAAAGATGCTTCAGCTACTCGAACCGAGGCCCTGGCGAGGCATTCGCAGGGAAGGCAGCGGGAGGAGGGGCCTTGCCGGGATAGCCGGCTCAGCTCTCAGGCCACTTCCTGGGGGCGGCTTGCTGACACCGGCCTAGGCTCTGCGCAGTGTCTCTTCCGGGTTGGCCTCTCAGGCCTTTCCGGCGTTTTCAGTGGAGCGTTGGTCTTGCCAGGTCTGCCTGTGTCTGCCCGGTGTTCTCTTTGCCCGAGCGCCTCCCTCTAAGTTCCCTCTGCATTCTACCGGGATTTCAGTTTACCTTAACGGTAGGCTGCGGTGTACCCAGCTAGTACCAGGCGTCACCTGCTCCCCTTTGGGGGACTTGAAGCATGTTCCATGTACTTTGACATGTCATTAGTTTGGGTGTTTCTGCTCGGCTGTTCTCAGATAAGCCCGGATGTGTGAATGCGTGAGGCCAGCACGACTGGGAAGTGGAGACTGCCTGGGTCTGCGATGCCGCCATGGTCTGTGGCGGGTGCTCCCAGCACGGCTGGAATTCGCCTCCCGACCTCCGCCCTCCCTCGTGCCGAGGAGCCTTTCCTCACTTTCCCCTCTGGGAGCTGGTTTACAGCCCCGGACCGGACCGGACCGGACCGGGTGGAGGCTGTGTGAGGACTGGCCTCTGGGGGTGAGGGCCCAGGTGGTCTGGGAGGAGCCTCGCCAGCAGGGTGCGCGGACCTGCTGCTGTGGGCTCCTGCGGGGTGTGGGCCACGCTTCACGCTCGCGTGTCAGACGCCGGCCGATGCGGGCTTCAGAACGACAAGCTGCTGTGCAGACTTTCTTTGTCTCCCCTGCAATAGCGGGTCCTTTCCTCTTGGGCCCGGCAAGTGTGTAGCTCATTGTCTGGGGAATTGAGGCAGCAATCCCTCATTCGTATTCCAGCCCTGCAAGCAGACACCGGTGACTGTCACCGTCCCCACTAGACAGACAGCGGGGGGAGGGTGGGAGCTGCTGCTTGCCCACCTCGGTGCCAGGTTGAGACTGCTCCGTCCAGTCTCCTGGGACCCTCAGAACAGGCCCCCTCTGCTGTGAAGTTTCCTTGGAGTGAGTGGGCCAGGACAGATTGGTGGGCTTTCTGGGAAGCACAGCCATGGGCCATCTGGTGTCCATGCAGGGACGTTGGGAGTCCTGGGAATTCTCAGTGCTTTATCCTGAGGCCAGCAGTGAAATCATCTTCCTGGAATTTGTGGCCATTTTGGCTTGGGGTGTTTCAGCCTCCTTTCCCCAGAGCCCTCTGCAGGTGGCACCTGAAGAGAGGGATTTCCTGCTGCTTTTCACAGGACTGGAACTCAGAGTAGGGTGGGTTTGCACAAGGCTGGGTGTGTGGGGCTGCAGAGATGGAGCTCCATCTCACCTCAGGAGTGTGTGGTCAGTGCTGGCCTGAGGTGGGCTGCGGCCCCCAGGGAGGAGGCGGCTGCTGGTGAAGTCCCCCCAGCATCACTGGGATCACGTGAGACAGATGGCTCCTTTTCCTAGCCTGTTCTTGCTCCACTTTTCAAAAAAAATTTTTATTTTTCAGTAGTGGAGATTGAGCCCAGGGTCCTTGTAGTGAGCTACATCCCCAGCCCTTTTTTATTTTTTATTTGGAGAAAGGGTTTCACTGTGTTGCTAAGTTGCCAAGGCTGGGTTTGAACCTCTGATCCTCCTGCCTCAGCCTTCCAGAAGGCTGGGATTATAGGCATGTGCCCTGCACCTAGCCAGATTGGAGGGTGTTTTTGTTTTTGTTTTTTGAGACAGGATCTTACTGTGTAGCTCAGGCTGGCCTAGAACTTGCAGTGATCCTTCTATCTCAGCCTCCAGAGTTGCTGGGATTACACGCATGTGCCACCATACCTGGCTAGATCTGAGTTTTAAAAAGAAATGCTTTACTAATTTCTTCCTTGATTGGAAGTCTTGTTCATGTCACGAGTCATGTGTCTGAGCAGCTGTGTAGTAGTCCTAGACCTACCCTTCTAGGAATCTGCAGGTGCGTTTTTTTAGGTGGATTTGCTGGATGGGATTTAGCTGGGTAGTCTTAACCAGGTGGTTGCTTTTGCGAGTTCACTTGTGGTTACTGTAAATTTGGTCCCTGAGTTGTTTGGAATTAACCTAAAGTCTGGGGTTTCTCCATTGGCATTGGCACTTTTGAGTTGCTCATCAGTAGCTCTTTGAGATGTTAGGAGGAGAGAGGACTAAAGGGAAAATCCTTCTGCAGATGGAGCTCGGCTTAGGCTCCCCCGCCTTGCTCAGTACTGGGGATGGAACCCAGGGCGTTCACGCAGCGGCACCCACCTTCCTTCACTTTGACAGAGACAAGGGCTTGCTGAATTGTGGATCAGGTTGGCTGCATTGCCCTGGCCGGTTTGAACTTGTGGTCCCCTGCCTCTGCCTCTCAGGTGTTGGGTTTACAGATGTGCACCACTGCACCCAGCCTGGGCTGGCTGGCTGTCATCTGCCTGCCTGTCTCTCTCTCTGGCTTTCTTTGAGACAGGTTCTCCTTTTGTAGTTCAGGCTGGCCTTGAACCTACTGGGTAGTGGCTGGCTTCTTGATTTGCGGCACAGCGAACCCCCTGCCTCAGACTCCCTAGTGCTGGGATTACCAGCACACCCAGCTCACTTTTTAAAATATTGTAAGAAATCAGAAATTGACCAAATTTCTTCTGTTCTCTCCTAGCAGGCAAGAGAGGCATCTGCAGTGGTCCTGACGAGGATAACCCTTTGTGTGTCTCTTTAACCAGGTCACCATGGCTGTTGTTGGCTCCCTTGCTGTCCCCAGCTGCCTCCCAGGTCACTTCCCCACCTTGCTGCCTCTGTCCAGAGGGTGTGCACAGGTTCCAGTGGATCCGGAACCTGGTTCCAGAGTTTGGCATCTCCAGCTCTCACATCAGAGTGCTCTCTTCCCCCGGAGAGTTTTTTGAGCTCATGAAGGTAAGTTGTGTCTAAAGACTGAGGGAAGAAGTGGGAACTGGGAGCTGGGTGTGGTGCCTATAGTCCCAGCACTCTGGGAGGCTGAAGCAGGAGTACTCAGGTTTGAGCCTGGCCTGGGCACTTAGTGATTTAAACTGTCTCAAAAGAAATGAAAAGGACTGGAGCTGGGCTTGGTGGGGCATGCCTATAATCCCAGCATTCGTGGGCTGAAGCAGGAGGACTGGGAGAGTTTGAGGCCAGCCTGAAGCACATTGTGAAACCCTGTCTCAAAAAAAAAAAAAAAAAAAAAGTTAGCAAACAGCACCGCGGATGCAGCTCCGTGTGAAGGCCCCAGGTTCAAGCTCCTGTAAGGCACACACACGCACGCACACACACACATGCATATGCAGGAAGTCAGTTGGAGGTTTGGGGTCAGGGTGGGTTAGTGCTATGGGTTGAGTTAGTCCTCCACCCTAGGCTGGCTTCTGATGCCGTTTTAGCCTTTTGGGTTCTGCCTGTCACGGGTGATTGGGTGGGAGTGAGTGAGCACACGTGGGTCTCACCGGGTGTCCTGGCCAGAGGACGGAAGTGAGCCTTTGTCTGGTCTGTGCAGGGTGGACCTCTGCCGAGGAAACGCGGCCAGGTGCAGTGGTGACATTTGGTGGATGCAGTAGAGATCCACGGGGGCTCTGAGGTGTCGGCAGCGCCCAGTGCCCATCAGGGAAGAGGTATCAACGCAGGGGGAAACTTGAACACCCTGGGCTAAGGCCTCACGTCCTCCTTTCTGGGGCTCTGTCAAAGGAGTGCGCAGCCTTCTCCCTGCAGTAGTGAGGCCATCTTCGCGCCTCGGGTTCAGCTTTCAGCGTGCTGCTTCTGCTTGCGTGCCCCATTGGCTGTTTGTGGCTGAAGTGCTAATTGGAATGAAGTACTTCAATACTTACTAATCTTTAACAGCGTGAGCTCTCCACGTTCACATTAGGAATGATGCTAGAATGAAGATCTGATGAGAGCCGGTGGGCCGGGAGATAATAGGAGGCACAGGTGGGGACCCTCTGTGCGGAGAGAGCTGCTGAATGTCTGCCCATCTTGTCTCCTTTTGCCGTCTCGTTCTGCTGGTCCACATTTAGCTTCATATCTGGCTGGCTGGCTGGTTCCAGAAGGGACTGTGTGTGTGGCCTGTCGCCTTGTTCTCCCTTCACCACTGCCTGTCCTGTGTCCTTGTTGGTGAGGACGGGTGCTGCAGCCTGTTGTCTGCGCCCTGTAGGTCCTCTCCCGTTATCTCAGTGCCCTGTGGACCCTGGGTGGCTGCGTGACCGTGTCTTCACGTGGTGATTCACTGACAGTGTCTGCACTCGGACAGAGCCCCCGAAAGTCAGACTGAGAGGCTTACGTCCACGGTATTCGAGTTTTCGCCTGCGTTGAGATAGCAGTACCAGGGTGGCGCTGCAGAGGCAGGAAGGGCAGGGGCTTGTCTGGGGACGAGAAGCCTGGGCCTTCTTTACTGGCCCAGCACTGAATTGAGGCCAGATTCTTCTGCCTCCCATCACACAGAGTGGCATGTTTCTTCCCAGGACAGACAGCGGCCTATGACCAGTGGGGCAGAAGACGGTGTTGGTTTCTTCCCAGTCCCTGTATGGGACCTGGTGTCCTACCGTAAGCAGTTGGGTATGCTGTGGTTGCTCGAGCTGAACTGACTCAGACTTGACTTGCTGCTTTTATTCATGATTTTCCCTGCAAGCATCATTCATTCATGAGACCAAGGTCTTGCTAAGAAGGTCAGGCTGGCCTTGAACTTATGAGCTGGCCCAGACTGGCCTTGAATTTGCAGTGATCCTCCTGCCCCAGTGCTGAGATTACAGGCCTGCACCACCACACCTGGCAATTTTTTTTTTTCTTTTTGGAGACAAGATCTTGTGTGTAGTTCAGGTTTATGCTCCTGCCTCATCCGAGTGCTGGGAGGTGTGCACCATCACACCCAGCTGCATCTCTTGATAGGTAACAGAGCAAAGGGAATAGCAACTTGGGATGTTGTTTTGTTTTCTCCATGTACTGGAGGCTTCTCCAGTGGTGCATTCATGCATCTGTGTAGTACAGACGCCCAACTTCCTGTGTGGATGATGTGGTTAGGGATGACATCCCTTCTTCCTTTTTTTTGGCAGTGCTAGGATTGAACCCAGAACCTTGTACATACTAGGAAAGTGCTCTACCACTGAGCTGTAACCTCTGTTCTTTTTATAAATTTTATTAAGACAGGGTTTAGCTAAGTTGCTCAGTCTGACCGTGCTTGAACTTGCTGTCCTTTGGCTTTAGCCTCCCAAGTAGCACCCAGCGACATGCCTTCTGGACAGAGAAGTAGCCTGAGTCCTGTGTGCTTCCTTCCCTCCCTGTCACCTCACTCTTTATGCTTTGGGGTTGACTTCTGGTGGCACTGTCCTTTCTGTCCTCGCTACACATGGGGCCGGGATATCTTTGTGCTGTGTCTTGGGTGTTTGTGTTCTGTTTATGTGTCTGTATTCCTGTCTGCATTTCAAAAGTGGCACCTGCTTGTTGTAAACAGCTGAGCTGTGTAGATGGTGGAAGGGTGCAGAATATACCTGGGCTCCCCTTCCTGCCCGCCGTGCTCCCTCGGGACCCCTCTCAGCAGTGTGGCAAGTGTTCTTCGTGCTGCTGAAGACATACATGTACACAGGTGTGTGCTCAGCCTTGTGCCGGGGTTTAGGTGTGAACACGGGGGCAGTTTGCACTGTTCAGGGATTTGCTTTTGTCTTCCCGCAGTGCCACATGGATATTCATGTACACACATATCTCCTTCGGTCTTTTAAATAGCTGCCCCTCCTCCTGTACTTGGGCTGCAGTGTGCCTTACTTTGAAGGCTGAATAATTTAAACTAGGATTTCGAGGGCTGAATAATTTAAATTAGGATTTTGAGTCTTTATGTAGTAAGTTACCATGTACATTTTAGGTTTCGTTTTAATTTTAACTGGTGAAGGCATAGGGCAGCTCAGCTTAGAGTGTAATTTGTTTCCAAGGTAGAAGGACCATGTGTTTTCAGTGAACTATAAAAATAAATGACATGTAAATTTTGAATTGTTTCTCTTTCAGGGGCAAATAAAAGTAGCCAAGAGGCGGGTCGTGATGGCATCTCTCTATCTGGGCATAGGACCTTTGGAACAGGAACTGGTAAGGTTCGTTTGGAGCAGATTGGTCTTAAAACACTGCTCCTGCATAGTGCTCTGGGGTTTTTGTTTTTGTTTTTTGTACTGGTGATCAATCCGGAGGCCTTTTCACTGAACTGCATCCTCAGCCTCCTTTTTTAATATTTTGAGGCCTGGTCTCAGTAAGGTGCCTCGCTGGGGGGCTTGAACTTGCAGTCCTGCCTCAGCCTTTCAAAGTGTTAGGGTGATAGGCGTGTGCCGCTGTGCTGTGTGCCTTGGTTTGGATATAACTGGGGAAGACTCAGGGTAGTTGAGCTGAGTGTGTGACTTGGCTGTTGACCTCTGTCTCGCAGCCAGCTCTTGCTCCTGTTGCCCAGCTATGGGGTGGCTCAGGAGGACACAGGGAGGCCTAAATCAGGTGCTGGCCAATGTCGTGTCCCCCCTGACACAGGGCTCTTGGGCCATTCTGTCTATCAGTGTAAGGCTTGGCGAATGGCAGCCCTCAGACCCAGTCTGGCCTGCTGCCTGCTTTTTTGTTTAGGTACTGGAGATCGCACTCAGGACCTTGTGCTTGCGAGACAGGCGGCAGAACCACTGAGCTAAATCCCTGGCCCTACTGCCTACTTTTGTTGTTGTTGTTGTTTTGTTTTGTGACAGGATCTTGCTGTGTGGCCCAGGCTGGCCTCAAACTCATGATCCTCCTGCCTCAGACTTTCAAGTGCTGGGATTACAGGTGTGTGCCACTGTACCTGGCTCACACTGGCTGCTTTTATATGACTTACCTGTTTTCAAATGATTGGAAAAAACCAAGAGACTTATTTTGTGACTCATGTAAATTATACAAAATTTACATTTCCATATCCATCAGTAAAATTTTATTGGAACACAGCCGCACTCAGCATTTTGTATCATCCATGGCTGCTTTCAGGAGACAGCAGTGCAGCTGTGTAGAAGTGTGAGACTGTCTGGCCCACAAAGCCCAAAATGTTTACTTTTCAGCGAAAGGTTTCTGATCCCGTGCTAGACAAATGAACCCAAATGTAGGTCGGGCTGGCCAGCAGGCTGGATTTGCCAGGGGTGGCGCTGGGTGCCAGGTCTGGGCCAGTCTTGTCCCATCTGGACTTGCTGGCTTGCCACGCTTGCCACTTACAGTGAGGCAGGCAGGGCAGGGAGGAGCTGAAGTGGCCAGGTTTTTCCAGGGGGTCTAGTGCAGGCCCTGCTGTCCCAGCAGCATGTAAAGCGAAGGGAGTTTGGAGTGAGGTCATGACTTTGTCTGGCTTCCAGGACAGCTTTCCGGGGAGGGAGGGAAGTGGGCCCGCTGCCCAGGTAAGTGTTGCCTACTGGTTTATGGGTATTCAGAACCCACACATAGCAGCTGGGAAGCAACAGAGGGCTTGGGGTGTGGAGCCGCCAGGAAAGGCAGCTTAGCCCGAGTGCTGCTCCTTCCCTGCTTCTGCGGGAGGTGGGCTCCCTCTGCTTCCAGGTCACACTCTCAGCCATGTCTGTGCTCATGGGAGAGGAATTCAGCGTCCAGCCCATGGAGTAGGGCCAGTGGGCAGCTTGCATCTTAGATTTATTCACCTGCCGATATTTGCCGAGTCTGAGAGGATCATCTGTCTGTTCCTGTGTGTGTGAGAGTTGGTGGCTTAGTGTTTCTGAGTGTGGCGAGGCCCAGGCTACTGAGCTACAGCCTCTGCCCAGCAGTCTCTTCTAGGCCCAGGCTTCAGAGGCGTCGGTGGCTTCCTGATTGTCCTTTCCGGGCCGTGTCTTGCAGAGCTTTCACAGTGTCGGCTCTTGAGTGCTGCTTGTATACGAGTGCTCAGAGAGAATGGTGAGGGTGTTAGCTGATGAATTATCCTTTTTATTTATTTTTTGTTTTGGTACCTGGGATCGAACTCAGGACCTTGCACTTGCTAAATCCCTGGCCCTATCCTTTTTATTTTTATTTTTTAATTTTTTTTGTTTCTCGGGATCGAACTCGGGACCTTGTACTTATGAGGCAGGCAGCAGAACCACTGAGCTAAATCCCCGGCCCTGAATTATCCTTTTTAAATGTGCACATATCTTTTTTACCTTGCTTCTGTTCCTCTGTGTTCTTTTTCTGATAGGTTGATTGCCTGGAAAGTACTCTAGAAAAGTCACTGCAAGCAAAATTTCCTTCTGACCTCAAGGTCTCCATTCTTCTGGACTTTACCAGGGGCTCAAGAGGTAGGTATTGTACGTGCCTGGTCCCCTTCCTCATCCTTGACCCAGCCCTGGACTGCCTGCCCATATGGAGGCCTCTGGTGGCTGGGGCCCACACCCCCAGCGTACCTGGTCCCCTGTCCATTAGAGGAGTCTGCTTCCCTGGGAACCAGGCCAGAGCTCCTGAGTGGCTGCCAGGAACTGTAGGTCTATCTAGCTCTGAATTAATCATCGTCGGGCTTGGCATACCCTGAGCAGCTCCTCCATCCTGCATGTTCTGTGGAGCTGGGGCTGAGAGGTCAGTCACCCTCACGCAGAGCAGGAAGGCCGAGAGTGGGGTGGTGTGCCCCGAGGAAAGGGGTGGGTGCTGGGTGGCAAGGATAGTAGCTGTCTGCTCCCCTGGGCCCTCTGGCCCGCCCTGAGATGTGGCCATTAGGTGCCCATAGCAGTACCAGTTGGTTTGCTCATTCAGATACAGCACAGGAACAGTGATGCCACGTGGAGGTGGTCCCTTCCTGGCAGGCAGGGCCTCTTCCTGGTATCAGTCTTTGGCCCCCTTCTCTCATATCCAGGCAGGAAGAACTCACGCACAATGCTGCTACCACTCCTGCAGAGGTTTCCAGAGCAGGTCCGAGTCTCCCTCTTCCACACTCCAAATCTCCGTGGTCTTCTCCGACTCCTTATCCCTGAGCGCTTCAACGAGACCATTGGCCTCCAGCACATCAAAGTGTACCTCTTTGACGACAATGTTATCTTGAGTGGGTGAGTTTGCACCCTCCACCAGCAATTTCACCTGTATGCCCTCTAGGGAGGAAGTCTGTGCACCAAGAAGAAAGGACAGCCCACTCCCTAGGGCCCTGCAGGACCTGTGTGTGGTGGTTGTGGACGCTCAGCCTCCTCCCTGGTCCCCCTGGAGCCCGCAGAGGCTGATGGGAGGACAGCTGCTGTTGGTTGAGCCCTTCCTGGGGTTAGCTGCTGTCACTATGGCCTCTGTCTTACTCAGTTCTCACAGTAACTCTGTGAGTATTTTCCTTACTTTATACATGGAAAAACAGAGGTTGGAGAGGATGAATAACTTAGGCAGAGGGCCGGGGATGTAGCTCAGGGGTGCCACCACCTACTCCTCAAGCTCAAGGTCCTGAGTTCGGTCCCAGTACCAAAAAACAATACAAAACAAACCAAAAACTTTTAGACAGTTCAGAAAACAGAGCCGAGGTGGACGTCCAGGTCCTTTAGCTTGAACAAGGGCTTCAGAAGTCCGTTCCCACTCCCCAGAGTCTGCTTCCTGAGAGCCAGCGCAGTGGTCAGCTCCTGGCAGGAGGCAGGGGTTGCAGTCTGTTTTGTGTGACTTATTGCTAGTCTTGCCAAGTTTCCTGTGTGTGGACATTGCTCGGCAGCCACTTGTTAACTGGTTCCTTCTGTGTCCTCACCTGAGTTTGTCGCTCCTCTCCCAGTTACCCTAAGGCCTGTGTCACCAGGCCGTGGCAGTGCACACTTGCCTGAGTCCTTACCTGCTTCTTCCTCCCTGTAGTGCAAACCTGAGTGACTCCTACTTCACCAATCGCCAGGATCGCTACGTGTTCTTGCAGGACTGTGCAGAGATTGCTGACTTCTTTACAGAGCTGGTGGACGCGGTGGGGGACGTGTCCCTGCAGCTGCAAGGGGACGACACTGTGCAGATGGTGGATGGGATGGTGCATCCTTACAAAGGTGGGGCCCGGCTCTGCTGCCCACCTGGTTTGTGGGGTGAAGGCCATGAGACAACACCTTTGGGGCACCTTGCCCCAGGTGCAGGAGATGGGGTGCCAGGGCCTTCTTCTGCTTTTGATTCTGAAGCCATATTGTTGTGACTCCTGGCTGTCAGTCATGCACCACAAGGCAGAGCTGGCTGGGGAAGGTGGGAGTGTGGTTTTGGGCCCTATGTGCCGGGCAAAGAAGCGGGGAGCCTGCCCTATTCTTAAAGGAGGCAGCCTGCCCAGTGACTGCCCTCCTCAGCCTGTTCCCCAAACCTCCTATCACAAAGACCTTGTGGCTCTTAGCTCCATTGAGGTCTGTGGCTTCCTGCCTGGAAAGTGAAATGGGAGAGCTCTTAGCTCTGCTCGCTGGAGACAGGCAAGTCCTGGCACAGCATTCCTGGGCATGTGCATTCCTGTGATTCCTGTGGCTGTGGCTTTCTGTGGCCCTTGAAGGGCCGCTGCTGAGTTTGCAGCAGTGTCCACAACATGGGCAAGGGGTTAAACCTGGACCTCTTAGGAAGGACTCCGGTTTCGGTGCACTTAGCCTGGAAGGATCTAAGTGGATCAACTGGTAGAGGAGCTGCCCTGTGCCAAGGAGCTGCGGCTGCCCAGCCTGGCTATAATTTTGTGGCGTTGCTGCTAGCTGCCAGCTGCTATTGGGATGCTCAGGTATTGCCATTGTACTTTTTTTCCAATACTAGGGATTGAACCCAGGCACGTTCTACCACTGAGCTGCATTCCCAGCCTTTTTTTAAAGTACCAGCAATTGAACCTAGAACCTTTGCACTGAGCTACAGTCCCACCTCTCTTAAATTTTTTGTTTTTTAAGTTTTGAGACCGGATCTTGCTATTTTGCTAAGTGGCCAAGGCTGGGTTTGAACTCGTGATCCTCCTGCCTCAGCCTCTCAGAGGGCTGGGATTGCAGGCAAGCACCAACATGCCCAGCTGATTTTCAGTCTTTTCTTGTCTACTAATAGCACCTGCAGCTGTGTTTTTCCCTCCAGGGTGTCCATAGAACTACTTGTCACAAGTATCCTATCTAGCTATGAAAGGCACCCACCTAGAGTCCAGAGCCTGCCTCTGGGAACTCTGTGGGTCGCCTCCAAGAAAGTTGTGATGCCTATGCCCGTCACTCCTTTTTCTATTGTTTTCATACATGTATTTATTTGTGGTGCTGGGAATCAAACCTGGGACCTTGTACAGGTGTGGCAAGTGCTCTGCCACTGAGCCACACCCCCAGCCCTCCATGAACTGCTTCTTGATGTGTAACCTGCATACTGAACACCAGTCACAGAGATGTAGCTCATGCGTCTGTTCATGGTGGATGGCTCCGGAAGCCCCCTGAAATCCTTTTCAGGGGAGGAGTGCCACCCTCCTGTATCCACTCTCCTGACATCTGTTACCCTGAATTCATCTTGCCTGTGTTTGGAATCATGTTTGGACGTGTCCTTTCCCTTCTCCTGTGTACAGGCGTTGTGGGCAGGTTTCTTGGTGTAGGCAGCCGTACCCTTGGGGGAGGTTTGCTCAGGGCTCTGTCCCTTGAGCTCACTCCGTGCGTGCTCCACAAGTGATTGCTTACGGCATTGGCACTTGCCTGTCACGTGTACCTGCCCCGAGCTGGCAGTGTCCCGACTCTTCGCCATCTCTTTCTGTGGTCTCCCTCTAGGTGACCGGGCTGCTTACTGCAAGGCGGCCAATAAGCGGGTCATGGATGTGATCCACTCAGCCAGGATGCGCCAGCAGATGCTGCATGCCCAGACCTTCCATAGTGACTCCTTGTTGACCCAGGAAGAGGTGGCGGCCGCTGGTGATCGGAGACCCGCGCCTGACACCTGGATTTACCCGCTGATCCAAATGAAGCCCTTTGAGATCCAGATTGATGAGATTGTCACCAAGACCCTGCTGACTGAGGCTGAGCGAGGTGCCAGGGTCTTCCTCACCACTGGCTACTTCAACCTGACGCAGGCCTACATGGACCTGGTCTTGGGCACGCGGGCTGAATACCAGATCCTGTTGGCCTCCCCAGAGGTGAATGGCTTCTTCGGGGCCAAGGGTGTGGCTGGTGCCATCCCGGCAGCCTACGTACACATTGAGCGGCAGTTCTACAGCGAGGTGTGCAGCCTGGGGCAGCAGGAGCGGATCCAGCTACAGGAGTACTGGAGGAGGGGCTGGACATTTCATGCCAAAGGTACGCAGCAGCAGTCAGCAAGGTTCTTCCCTTTCCCACCTGGGCAGCTCTGGTTCACGGCAGGGGCCAGGCTGGTTGGATTGCTAGCACCAGTGAAGGACCGAGCGGTGCCTGGGGGAGTCCTGGCTGCCCTCCCTCCCATTTGTCCTCAGCAGCCCTCTCAGAATATCACGGTGGTCCTGGATCCTGGAGAGGCCAGAGCTGTCCTATTCAAGTGAATTTCAGTTGTATATCCCCCCCGCCGCCGCTTTTTGTTTTGTTTTTGGTACCTGGGATTGAACTTCAGACCTTGCACTTTCAAGGCAAGTTACAGCACTGCTGAAATAACCACCCCCACCCCCTTTGGGGACAGGGTCTCACTTTGTAGTTAAGGCTGCCCTGGAATTCACCACGTAGCCCATGCTGGCCTTGAACTCGTAGCGATCCTTCTGCCTCGGCCTCCCAAGTGCTGGGATTTCAGGTGTGTGGCACCACACACGCTCTGCCTTTTATACACCAAAAACTTACAGAAATCATTTTGGTGGTGGTTTTAAAAAAGTAGGCAGATGTCCAAACCTGTAATCCTAGCATTGTGGGTGGCCAACATAATGGAAACAGCGGAAGCTCTACATACAAGTACAGTTTTTACTTAATGGAAATCCTGGACCCTTGATGGAGACACCTGTGGTGGAAATGAATTAGTCTGAACTGCACATTTATTGTCTCGGGCATTGAGTGGAGCCCAGATGGGGCACACCCTCCGGAGTACCTCCCTGAGACATGGAACGGTGTGTTTAAAACCTTGTGCTTAGCCGGCTGTGGTGGTACATACTTGTACTCCTGCTTGGGGGCTGAGGCAGGAAGATTGCCTCCTTAAATGCAGCAAGTTTAAGGCCAGCTGAATAATTAGTGAGATTTTATTTCAAGATGAAAAGGGCCAGCGGTGTAGCTCGGTGGTAGGGCACTTGTCCAGCATGCCTGAGGCCCCGGGTTTAATCCTCAGCATCAAATCAGTCAGTCAGTCAATCCAGCCTCATGCTTGGCAGCCCCCTGGAACTCCTTGTTGGGGTGCGCTGCCTACCTCTAGCAAGGTGAGCTTGTTCAGGGAACTCCCTTACCTAGTGTGGGGCTGATTGCCTGATGAGGTATAGAAAACACCTGGGCTTCTGGGCCGTGATTTCTGTGTGTAGCTCTTCTTCTCTCTGGATAATCCTAAACCGTCGTGGATACATATCAGTGCCTTTTAGTCATAAGGATATTTTCTTCTATCTCTCTCTCTCTCTCTCTTTTTTGGAATAGTGCTTACTATGTTGCCTAGGCTGGTCCTGAGCTCCTAGATTCAGAGATTTCCTGTCTGAGCCTCCTGTGTGTGCTGGGACTGCAGGCTTGTGCTACCACACCTGACTAAAACCAGCGATGATGCTTTTTAAGAAATTACCAAAGCCCATCATACACCTAAATTTAGCTCTGTGAATTTTAAATTTAACCTATTATTATTTCATTTAATTAATTAATTTCTTTTTTGAGACAAGGTCTCACTATGTATGAGTTCAGGCTGGCCTTGAACTCACAGTGATCCTCCTGCCTCGGCCTCTCAAGTGCTGGGATTATAGGCATGCGCCACCACACCTAGCTCATTATTTTTTTGAGACAGGGTCTTTGTAGTCCATGCTTGTCTGGAACCTGCTGTGTAGCCTAGGCCGGCTTGAAGTCACAATCCTCCTGCCTCAGCCTCCCCAGTGGAACATCACACCCAGCTGCATTGGTAGCTTAATTAATTAGTTTATTAATTTATTTCCTGTACTGGGAATTGAGCCTAGGTGCCATGATGATGAACTTTTTAGAGCTTTCAGTGGTAATAAGCAGCTGGCTGAGTACTCATGCCATAGGGTTACCACCACGGGCAGGCCTTGTGCATGTTGTGTCAGTGCTCTACTGTTCCGCTGTGTCCCTGGCCTTTCATTCAAATAGTTAAACATTTTGAGATAGTTCTGAGTCGCCCAGATTGACCTCAGATTCCTACCTCAGCCTTCTAAGGACCTTGATTATGGGAAGTAAGCATGTGCTACCTACCACTCCTGGTTCAACCTGATTTTATTTCACATTTTATGTTTTACTTTATTTTTGGTACTGGGGATTGTTTATTTATTTTTCTATTTTTGGTACCAGGGATCAAACTCTGGACCTTGTGCTTGGGAGGCAGACGATGGCATCACTGAGCTAAATCCCCGGCCCTGTTTGTTTATTTTTGAGATGGGGTCTCACTAAGTTGCTAAGTTGTCCAGGCTGGGTTTGAACTTGTGATCCTCCATCCTGAGCTTTGCAGAGTGCTGAGATTATAGGGGTGTGCCGCCATGCCTGCCTTTTTATTTATTTATTGAACCCAGTGTTTGAACGAGGGATTGAACTCAGGGCTTGTGGATGAAGCAAGTGCCATACTTCTGAGCTATGAGTTCAGCAAACAGATTATTTAAAAAAATTTGTTTTGGCTGGGGATCAAACCCAAGACCTAATTCATACTAAACAAATACTCTACCTCTGAGTTACGTCCCCGGCCCCTATCCTGGTGTTCAAAAAAAAAACCTCAGGAAGCCAGGCGTGGTGATGCAAACCTGTAATCCCTGCCCTTGGGACACCAGGCCAGAAGATCACAAGTTCAAGGACAGCCTGGGCTGTGTAGGGAGATCCTGTCTCAAAGCACACCCACTCCGGGAGATTCCGATGCCTGCCGTGCCGGAAGCCCACTGCAGCCCAGGGCGGCGCAGCTGCTGGCCTGTCCAGCGGGTCATGCTTGCACTGTTTTCTCATCTCGCATGGCCTGGGCTGAGCCGGGCTGGCGGACGGGTGTTGTTGGAGGGAGGCAGGCCTGCTGGGGTATGTGGAGAAATTATTTTCAGGTCGGCTTCATTACTTCTGGGAATGACAGCAGTGGGTGTGGGGAAGAGTTTGGAGCTCTCCAGGAAGCCTTGGAGCCGTGCAGAGGTGCGGGCCCGCGTTCTTCCTCTTGGGCCCCAGCTCACCCTGCAGGTCGGCAAGCTCCTGGCCTTGCCTTTGTAGCTGTGCTGCCGGTCTTTCCCTGAAACTGGCTGACAGACGTGTGACTCCCCAGAAGCTGTTGAGGAGAGACACCCAACTGGCTCTTCCCGTGTGCCTCGCCTTTTCCCGTACCAAGGACTCCTGCCGCTTGTTCCCTCCCTCCTGCCCGCACTGGAGTGGGTGGGGCCCTGCCATCTGGGACTGCTAAATTGATGAAGCCCTTGGGCAGAGGAGAATGTGCTAGGACACTAGATTCCAGATCCCTGTGTGCTGGCCGATCCAGTTTGTCCGCATACCATTCACTGGGAGTCAGGCCGCAGGAGGATGGGGGACTGTGTGTTGGTTTTGCTGGGTTGCTTTGCTGCAAGAAAGATTGGTTGGTCCCGTGCCCGGGAGGCAGTGTTGGGGAGAGGCAGCATTTGCGTGGGTAATGACCGTATGGTGGGCTTGAGTACAGCGGAAGTCAGGAAAGGCTGAATGCTGGGGCTGACTCTTCAGCGTGCTGTGTTAGCAGACATTGCTGGGAATAGCTGGCGTTTCACGGATGCTTTGAAGGGAAGATCCTGTGTGACAGCCATTTGCTGAAGCAGTGTTTATTCAGTTCAGCAGCCACAGTAGAGATTTACCTCATTTACTGATCTCTTATCAGATATCAGCTTTAATTGTACCGTTTCCAAGAACCACAGGTGTCTTAGGCCCTGCAGACTTTTCTACTATGGGTTATCTATTTAGTTTTTATTTGAACGTATGCAAAATATGCCTCAAGTCCAGAGACCCTGCATAAGCATCATTTGGTGTGGAGGTTGCCAGATGTGCAGTCTAGGGCCTGGCAGAAGTGGAGAGATCTGGTTCTGTTTCCTTCCTGTGAGATGGGGTGGCACTGGGTTGTCAGGAAGCCTGGAGTTCGACACACGTGGCTTCTGTAAGATGACTGGCCACTCTCAGCTGGGAGAGAGGTTTGGGCCTTGAGTGCGGAGTGAATGGTCAGTGTCTGGGCACTGGGAAGTCTAGATCCCTCGGTGCAGCCTCTGGCCATGGGGTATGCCCTGATGAATGCGTTGTAGGTAGAAGGTAATGTGGGTTGAAAATATATTGAGGGTCCGAAGTGCACTTGCCCCACTACTCTGCTGGCTGGCCTAACAGCCACATGGAGCACCAGAGCAGGGGTGGTTGGTTTCTCCTCAGAGCCCTCGACTGGTAGAGTTGTGCCCCCCCCCACTGCCCAGCCTCAGAAGGAAGCATTGTTTTGCCTATTGCTGCCTCAAGGAGATCCACATTCAGAAATCACAGGCTGCTGTAGTGGCGCATGCCTATTTTTCTAGCACCCAACAGGCTGGAGCAGGAGAATCAGTGCAAGTTCAAGACCAGCCTGGGTTGCACAGTGAGTTCAAAGTCAGCCTAAGCTACATAGTGAGACCCTGTTTAAAAAAAAAAAAAAAAAAAATCAGAGTGTGAGGAATTGGGCGTGTAGCTTAGTGGTAGAATGCTTGCCTTGCATGTGTGGGGCTCTGGGTTTGATTCTCAGCACTGAAAGAAAACCTCAAAACAAACCAGAGAGTGTGGCTTGGCGTGGTAGAGTATACCTATAATTCTGGGTACTTGGGAGGCTAAAGCTGGAGGATCATAAGTTCAAGGTCAGTAAGTGGGACAGCTGGAGGCCTTTAGGGCACCTCCTTGGCTCTGAAGGGAGTGAGGGAGGGAGTCCTCCAGCGCAGCTGGTGGGGAGAGGACTGCAGGAGTCCACAGCAGTAGAGGGCTGCTGGCTGCTCCCTGACTCACGGCTTGCCAGTTTCCTGTTGCTTGGCCTTGCTCCTTGCCCTGCAGGTTCTGGGAGCTGGGACAGGACTGGGACTCTACTGGAGATAGTGCTAGTGCAGCATGCTGGTATGAATGAGCACCACTGGTTCCCCTCCCAGCCTGGTCCTGCTGCAGGTGAGCAGTGGGCGATGAGCCTGTCAGCCAGCCATGTGCACGCCCAGCCGAGAACTCCCTTGAGGGCCAGAGTGTGTGGTATGAGCAGCTCTCAGCTCTGCCTCACGGAGACTGAGGCCTGGGTGGTGCTCACCCCCTCGTTGCCGCTCTCGCTGGGAGCAAGACACAGGCCAGCCATTGGCAGCCCTGTCCTGCAGCCAGCAGCTGTCAGGTGGGGACTGCCTGTGCTGTGCCCTGGGGGGTGCAGGGTCCATGATGGGGACATGGATTCTGCCCCGGAGCAGGCATTTTACGGGGAGAATCGGAAAAACCAGTTCAGCATTTTGACTCAGTTTCTGCTGGATGAAATTGGTCTGGATTAACAATACCCTGTCTGTGTGGCTAGGGGTGGAGCAGGGGCGTGGGCCTGAAGGGATTTCTGGCTCCTGCCAGTAGGAGAATCTGTTCATGATTGTGAGCGTGTCACTACTTTTACTGTCTTCCCGACAGGCAGGCGGGCATCGTGCCCGAAGGTGAACTGATGGTGAGAGCCGGGCAGCCCCGCCCTGCTGGCCCAGACCTCGAGGGGCGGCGCTCCTTGGAACCCTGCAGGTGTCCTCCGGGTCGGGGCTGTGCCAGTGCGTATTGTCACCTTGGGCTGGAGCACACGCCAGCTGCCAGGCTTCTCGGAGGCTCTCAGAGCTGTTTTCATGTCAGGACTGTCAGGTGCTCATCAGGGAGGGTAGGACCAATGTGCTCTGTCCTTGATCTCAGAGGGTCTGCAAATGCTTTGAAATTCCTGCAGAATCCTCCCGGGTTTGGGGGGCCCCCAGGAGCTGTGCATAGATTTGTGTTTTTCTGGGAGGAATCCTCAGAGAAGGCCCACACCTGAAATGCCTGTGAGCTCTGGCTTTAGAACACTACTTTTTTACACTTACTGTGATGGCACACGCCTGTAATCCTGGCACTCTAGAGGCCGAGGCAGGATATGAGAGATCAAGGCTAGCCTGGGCTGTATAGAAAGACCCTGTCTCACATGCGCACACACAGAAGCAAAGGAACTTGGGGAGCCTTTTCCAGGAAGTCAAGAGGCTTTCAGGTTAGTTTGTGCCTCTGAAGGACCAGGTGAATGAAGACGGGCAGAGGCAGATGTCCTTCCTGAAGAGGAAGCCTAGAGCTGCGTGCACACACGCACATACATACACCTCATGCACACTCCACAGTCTGTGCTGGGTTTGTGCTAAGCAGCTGCCTTGGCCTTGCTGTTCCTGCTCAGCCTGTACGCACGGCTGCAGCCAGTCCCCAGGTCCCTCCCTCCGGGTTGTCATTGGTGCTGCTGTTCTGCTGCTTCCCGGAGCGATGGAGACCTTGTCTGGCCCAAAGGTCAGGCCTGGTTGTGAGGAAGTAGGCTCCATAGCTGGTTTACAGCCCCGAGAGCGCTCCTGTGTGTACACAGCCTGGCAGCACCCAGACAGCCTCTGCTCTAGGTGGAGCCAGGGAGAGAGACCCAACTGCGAAGGGTTTCTTGGCTTCAGTGATAGAGCACTCACCCAGCGTGTGTGAAGCCCTGGGTTTAGCTCCCAGACCAGACACCCTAAAGGGCTCGATGATTCCTCCCCCTCCCCTCCCTCCAGTTGGAGGCTTCCCAGCTGTCCTCAGGCACAGATGGATGGCTAAACCTGGGTTGGAGACCTCTGAGGAAGTCTTGTTTCCAGCAGCCCTGGCCTCGCAGGGCCCTGGGGGTGTGGGACCCAGCATGTGGCGATGTGGCGCCGGTTGCCCTCTAGCACTGGCAGCACCCTTCCTCCACAGCACCTCATCACGCTGTCTGCGGGTTCACCAGCGGGTGCCGTTCTGTCCTCCCCTCCCCCTCCCTTCCTCTTTCTTTTGCTGGGGTGGGGTTATTTATGCTTTTGAGACAGGGTCTCACTGTATTGTCCCAGCCAGCCTCGAATTCCTGATCCTTTTGTCCCAGTCCCTGGAGTGCTGGGATTACAGGCATGCACACCATGCCCTGCCCTGCTTCATTTTCTTTTTGATGGAGAAAGATAACCCTGTAAATAAGACTGGGGGAAACTGATGGAATGATCTCGGGCCTCGCCCAGCAGGTCAGCAGGTTCACAATTGGCGCATCTCAGAAGAGGCACTCAGCCGAAGGCAGGCCAGGCAGGCCCGGAGGAAAGAAGTTGAGCTGGAGGCAGGGAAGAGAGGGGAGAAAAGGAATCTGTCCCGCCTTTCTGCTGTGTGTGTGGGGGTAGCACCTCGAAGGGACTAGGGTTGGATTTGGGGAAGGTGCTGCGTTATCTTAGTCCTTCTATACGTGAAGTGTGCACACACAGATGTCCAGCCAGCCTCGGGTTGGTAACTGGTAACGACAGAGGCTGAGAAGAAGATGTGCATGTGATAATTGCCCAGTGGGCTGGAAGGGCCACCTGCCTTGGGTGGTGACTCCAGGGTGCCTTGTGAGGGCCAACTGGTGTTTCAGCAGATTTTGCAAATAAAAAGCTGGTTTGGGGCTGGGTACTCCGAACTCCTGGTGTGGAGTTGGTAATGTAGTCTGGTCTAGGAGCCTTGGTGACAGGATGCAGGTCAGCTTCACCTCGTCCTCCTTGTGGGTGGCAGGCCTCCCCCTTTGCCCCACTCCTGAGTCTCTCTGAGCGGGCACAGGTGAGCTGACTGGCAGCCGTACTCGCCAGCCCTGGTATTGCTCGGGGGCTGGAGTCTGGTGAAGAGCTGGGACCGCGGCGGCTGGTGGGAAGAAGCTCTCATCTTTGTGCGACCGGAGCCTCACTCTCCTCTCTCCCAGCCCCACACTCTGGAAGAGGTGCACATGAGGGCCCTTGGGAAGAAGGACCCTTCTTCTGGTGAGCTGCCAGGGCCAGGCAGAGGGGACCTCTTTTCTGTTATGATGTATTTTTTGGACTTTGTCTATTAGTACCTCTGTGAGGTGCATAATGTTGAAGTTCCTTATATGGAGTTGGTGCATGTACAAAATACATCTCAATTCCTTTTTCCTGTCTTCCCTCCCTTCCCCCCTCCACCAATCTTTTGATCACCTTCCCTTTTTTCGGTACATGTTTGCGGTACATAATGTTTACATCCCTTGTGTGGAGTTGGTAGGCATGCGTAACACATCTCAATTCCTGATCTCCTCCCCTCTCCCGCCCCTCTCGCCCCTCCCGCTCAGGGCTGTTGAATCGCCTGCATAATCTGGGCACATGGCAATCAAGTGGCTTTGATATGGCCCTGTGTAGGGAGGGGATGAGGCCATTACAGGAACAGGCGGCAGGGCCTCGTCACCTCTTACCCAAGATGTTCTTGGAAATGTGCCTGCTCCGAGTGAGAATTAGGAAACGGTCTATTTTAGGGGCTTGGTGTGCGTTGCGCGCTGTCAATGTGCCCATGGTGATCACGTGTCTGCGGGCTCTCCAAGGGTCATGCTGGTGGGAGGTCATGGGAGGCGCAGGCACCCACGAGTCCCAGTCTCACTGGCGCTGGGCTGCGTTTCCTGGGGTGAGCGTTGTCGTTCTCGGGGCCAGTGAGGGCGCAGCGCAGAGGGAAGTGCAGGGGCCAGACCTAAGTTCATGCTCCTGGAGGAGGAAGTCCTTGGGAGGTTAGCAGAGGCTCTCCTGGGGGCTGAGCTGTGACTGGGGGAGAGCAGAGGACCTGCCTGGTGACCGGTGACACTAGGCTTCCAAGGGAGCCCGTGACCTCTGTCACAGAAGAGTCCCACCGTATGTCAGAAACAGCAGCCTGGTGCCCTGCGTTTCTCCTGACCATGACAGCCCCTAGCATTTCCTCGTATTTCTCTGAATGGGACCAAAGCTCACAGGGACCCAGGCCTCTCCTCTGTGGGCCTTAGGTGAACTTCACCTGGTCTAGTCTGGAAGCCCCTGAGCCCCCCTGCCAGTACGGGCAGAACTGTCGCTTCCACAGCCTTTTGGCAGCAGTGTGTCGGGGTCCTGCCAGCCTGCAGTGGGCAGCTGGGTCAGGGAGAAGTCGAAAGGGCAGGCAGCTCACCGGCACGCGGACCTGTCCTGCTGAGCATCTGCATCGCCCCGCGGAGCGCCCTGAGCTGCTAGCGTAGGCAGAGCATTGCTGTCCTCACGGCCACTTCCTCCGGTGCTCTCAGGAGAGGGCAGCCTCCGTCCAGTGTGGGCCCTGCCCTCTGGGCAGCAGGCCCTGGGGACGGCATCACCAAGGTCCCTGCTCGGGACACAGGTCAGGTGGGGCGTGGAGAGGGTGCAGAGTGACGGCTTAGCTTGTCCGGCCACCTCACACCCAGTGAGCCTGGTTGGCTGCTCTTCTCTTACGTTGAAGCAGCACGTGGCACGGACCTTGGCAGATGCTATGCTCATTTCCTGTCGCACATTTCCTTTTCCCTGCAGGCCTCTGGCTGTACCTGGCGGGGAGCAGCCTGCCCTGTCTCACGCTGATTGGCTCTCCTAATTTTGGGTACAGGTCAGTTCACCGGGACCTGGAGGCCCAGATTGCTATTGTGACGGAGAGCCGAGCCCTGCAGCAGCAGCTCCACCAGGTTGGTTGAGGTGGTGGGATCCCTGGGGTGTGTGGGGTGCAGCTGGCACTCAGCCTTGCCCTTGTCACCCGGCTCCCTGAGAAGTGTCTCCTGCCGCCAGCAGGTGAGATGCAGAGCAGAGCAGAGCGAGAGACCCTGAGTCCCCTAATCTGCATGGTGGCTGACAGGCATGCAGGGCCTTGGAAGACCCAGCCCTGGGCTGCTGCAGCTTGTGCCCCATGTCCGAGGGACTTTCCAGGTGGTCCTCTCCCTTGCTGGGAGAGGCTGTTTTCTACTCGGAAGGTGTATATAGCACTGGGGGTAACCTCTTTTAAGAAGTAGGACCAACCATAAGGGCCAGGCTGTGGCAGTAGCAGGATTTTATATTCTGCAAAGTTACTAAGAAGGCATGTAGGCCGTCTCAGGCTCGTCAGTTTCGATGGACTTCTGAAGTGAAGCCCAGTCCCTGTGCCTGTGAGACCTGGACAGTGCTCTGGGCCCCAACCTTGGGACCTTTCTAGTAATGCCTCCCCTGAAAGTGCCATCTCCTGTGCAGTGAGGGATGGAGAAGCCCTGCCGCGGGCCGTCCTTGAGAGCACTTGCACTGACTGCTCCAAGGTTTGCCTTCAGTGCTTGGGAATCACGGCCCGCAAAACCTCTGGATGGATGAGGAAGTAGTGGCCGCTTTGTCCCCTGGACCTGCCTCCTGCGGGCTGGGACTCTTGTCACTGATGGGGTGGGGTCAGGGTCCCTGGGAAGGGCTCCGTGATGGATGGGCAAGAGGAGGTGACAGCGGCAGTGCTGGGAGGCCAGCAGCGTGACGGGATTTGTTCTGAAGTTTCCCTCCTGCAGGAAGGAGGCCTTGGAGCCGGGCTTGTGGGAGAGACATGAACCCTTAGCTTTTTGGTACTGGGTATCGAACTCAGGACCTTGAGCTAGTAAGGCAGGTGGCGGAACCACTGAGCTAAATCCCCAGCCCAAACCCTTAGCTTTTGACAGTGGGGTCTGCTGGCCTTGTGTCTTTAGTGCAGAGAGCTATGTGCACTGATGGCTCGGTGAGGAGGGAGTAGTTGGTGATTCTGGCCTGGATTGGGACTGAGTTCTTCAGGAACTGGGTTGATGTGGGGAGCAAGTGTCCCAGGGCTGTGCACAGGGTCCTGATGCCGACCGCTCCCACTTCCTGAGTCAGGGAACCAAACCCACATCCTGGATCTCAGGAAAAGCCGGGCTGGTTGCGGTCAGCAGCTACTTTCTCAAGTGACATATTTAGGATATTTTCTTCCCAAACCTGTCTCCCAGGGGCTTTGGATTGTGGGAGGGTGGTAGCTCATGCTCCTGTGACTTCTCATTTAGGAACAGATTGATTTCTGTGCCTGTGAGGTGCAGAAACGTACTGCTAGATGGTTCTGCCTGTACTCTTACGTTCAGCAGCTGCTCTCCTCGCCTGTGGGTCCTGGTCTCTTGGTGCTGGGCTGTCCAGTGCCACACCAGAACATCCGAGCAGCCCCAGGGGCCTGCAGGTTCCTGTTCTCAGAAACAGCTGCTGGAGCTGTCCAAGGAACCCGGGAGGGCCCGGTCCATGTCCCTTGGAGCACTGGGAATAGGGAGGTATTTTTATCCGATTCCAAGTCCCTCCCTTCATTTAGTGCATACAATAAAAACTGAAAGCTTCCTGGTTTTGTTCAGAGAACACAGTCTCTACTTGTGACCCAAGAAATACTCCCTCGAATAGCATTGTGACCTCCACCAGCTGACTTCCTCCTCCGTCCCTGCGGTGGAGTGTGTGAGGACACTGAAGCATTTCTGGTAATTTAATTGAGATCTTGGCTGGGTCTCTATTTGAGAACATAGAGCTGGAGCTGGCTCAGTGGAGAATTCTGCGAACCCACCCCCCGAGAGCAGACTGGCTCCTCCGTCAGGCTCACCCACCTGGGGACTGTGACCTGAGCAGCAGCACTTAGGAGGCCAGCGGATTAGGCTCCCACGTTTGCGACTGTGGAGCTGTGGGTCTGTGCAATTTTGTTAAGCATCAATGAAGACAAGCACGGAAAGGTCCTGGAGAAGACCAAGCGCATTTTCCCATGTTCGGTGGGCACAGCCAGGAACGCATTCTGTAGTGTCAGGGTGGGGTAGCCTCGTCCCTGTCCCACAGGGGCAGAGGAGTGGCCAGGGAGGGACACAAGTTCTCTTCCCGGGCTTAGGGCAGTGCAGGCCCCCAGCCCTGCTCTTGTGCTCCTGATGACAATCACTGACGTGTGATCCTCATGCTTGGGGATGGTGGTGTTGGAGGTGGGGCCTTGATTTTACAGTAAGGGCATTGAAGATGCAGACCGTAGCGGGTGCTGCAGATGGTAGGTCCCGCTCAGTGCTGCCTTCTGCCTGTGAAGGGGTGCTCTGTCGGGGGTGACAGCACTGGTCATGTTCATGGAAGCTTCTCCTTTCAGAGACCCTCAATGCAGTTGAAGGGTAAGTGTATATCATATTTCCCTAAAAATAAGACTGGGGGTCTCATACTAATTTTTGCTCCGAAAGACACAATAAGGGCTTATTTGCTGGCGTTGTCTTATTCTACGTTGATTCATATACAAAAGTCTACAATTTTCAAATACAGTCATGTCACTTTCTTCTGAAACATCTTCATAACTCCAAATCCCAGATTCTGGCCTGAAATTTTGACAGCTCCATTTCCTGCAGAACCACTGACCCCAGCCTCTCGTGTCCAGCACTAGAGCTCTCTTCTTGTCTGCTATAATGCATTGGCAACACAGCTGTCATTGATTTCATCCCATGAATTCTTTTTGAGACAAGGTCCCACTGTGTAGTTCAGGCTGTCTGGAATTCACTAGGACAGGCTGGCCTGGACCTTGCAGCAATCCTCCTGCTTCAGCCTCCCGAGTATTGGGTTTATAAATGTGTGCCACCATGCTCTGTGTCCCATGAATTCTTTGCCCACATCATGACCTCTTGCGCACTAGGCTTCACAGATTCTATTAAATCAAGTGTTGATTGAAGACTTATGAGACAGGAATGGCAACAGAAATGATGACAGCTAGTTAAGAATGATGATCTAATACAAAGTGATGAAAACTTGCACTAAAATGCAGAGAGTGCTCATTTCACAGAGTGCATTGAGCGTGTCCGTTACAGCACACAGTGTGAAGACTCATCTGAGACACAGCCGCATCTGTGGGTGGTTGAGTACACACAGTATTCGTGCGCGGTGTCTGAGCCCCGAGTGGTCCTTTGGCAGTCGGTCTCCAGTTCATCTACAGTGCTCACTCACATAGGCGGTACGCCTGGGTATTTGCAAACACTTAATTGTAACAGAGTACCATTTGCTTGCATTGTTAATGTCCCTCATCCTACATGTTTAATTTATAGAGTGATGTCTCGGTTCACGAATGCTTTTGTTTGCAAATGATTTGGTTTGCAAACATGCATTTGGCAGAATTTTGTTTTTGTTTGTGCTCTCTGCATCAGGTGACAAACATGGTGGGCATCTTTTCCAGCATCGTGGAACCAGTGCGGTTTGTGAACTGATGCACGTGGTGTTTTACTGGACAACTCAGTGTGTGGCAGTAGACACACTAAATGTGTCCCTCTGGCTGTTGATCCTGATCAGGGCTTATTTTAGAGTAGGGCTTACATTACCAACAGCCTGAAAACCATGGTAGGGCTTATTTTTTGGTCGCGACTTATTTTTGGTGAAATATTGGTATAAATATTTTAAAATTTGTTTTAAAATATGAAAGTAAACATTGTAAGAACTGAGAAAAATTGAAACTAATTCTTTTATCAAGCCTCATTTTGATTATCCCCTTACTGTTTTGAATTGTGTAATTGTAGAAAGGATGACTTTTTAAAAACTGAAATTAGCCCAGGAGGCTGAGGCAGGAGGATTGCCATGAGGCCAGCCTGGGCTACACAGTGAGTTCAAGGCCAGCCTGAAAAGCATTGAGACCCTGACACACACACACACACACACACACACACACACACACACACACACACCAAAAAACTACAG